CAGGAAGGGGATCACTGCACTGGGATATACCTATATATATATAGCTAAGAGGCAGGAGACGTAATGCGCCGTCTGATTTGCATCAGTCATGCTGTCCTTCAGGTAGTTTTACCAGACGGATGAGGCACAGCCTGCTAGGCTTGAGACGTACTGCACATGCAGGAAGCAACAAGCAAGCACTTGGTGGCTTTTCTCTCATTCAAGCCCCAGTTACACAATTTCTTCCCCCAGCTTCGAGCGGCTAAGATGCAGCTTTAGGTATGGGTAAGATTATATTCAGGGGGACTCCTTCCCCCAACCCCCCTTCCTCACGACTGTGCAGCCAGGGTGCCTCCAGCCCTGGCCTGACCCACGTCTCTGCTGGGTAACTGCTGGAATGAGCCACCTGCCCGGGGCAGTGACTGCCAGCTCCAGCTGTAGTGTCACCCACCCACCCTCTATCAAAAGAACCATTCTCTCAGTCCCAGTCTGAGTTCCGGAGCAGAAACTGTAGCATAGGAGCTGTCTGCATCCTCACTGGTGAGGATGGGGATAAAGATCAAGGCCCTGGGGAACCCCTCTTTCCCTTTCTGGATCATTTACATTTGCAGATAAACCTGAGCACCTTATTCAGGTGGACAGATCATTGCCTTTGCAACGGGAAAAGCAAGAGGCTGGTCTGCCAGACAAAGCGGATTTCAGCAAGTGTGAAAAGCTCTTATTTCACCTTTTCCAGGGAACGCTTTACCTCTCTAGGCATGGCCCTGTTCTCTACCAGCTGGAATCTGTGCATCCCACCACAACGGCAGAGATGGCCCGCTGCCTCCAAGCATGCTGCTGGTTATGACTGACTTGCTCCAAGGTCAAGGTGTTTGGGAAGCTCTTGGGATTCAAGCAGTCAACAAGGCCATGGTCATTCACATTTTATTTTCTGCCCTCCACCATGATAATGTGGTACCCGAACTTTGTTTTGACAGGAGGGTCTGTATACACTGGCTTGTCCATACTGCTCACGGGCAAGGCGAACGCTGCTTCCTGGAAAGGTCCCACCATGGAGCCTCTGGTCATCCAGCCCAAGTCTCCCTGGAAGAAGGAACCATCAGGGTTAAGCTTTGAGAATCTCACTGCAACAGCAGCCTCATCAGCAGGGAGGGTGGGTGATGTGGCTGTGGGACAGGAAACCTGTCCTGGCAGCGTTTGTCTCAGCACTGCGCACCACTGTGAGGGAGGACAACGCAGGGAAGCTTCACACGGGGCTTCCTCTTAGCAAGCACTGGCTGGCTAAAGCCACGGCAGGCTGGGGCTCTGCCCTGGCTGAGGGCTGGCCTGCTGCCCTGTGGGGTTTGTGTGCCTCAGCTCTGCTGCAAATAAGT